CAGGGGGGGTAGGTGGTAGAGACACGGGCCCCAGGGACGGAGCAAATTTCGCAACGTGTGTCGTATTTTTGTCGTTTTTAAAAAAGAAGAAAAATTGCTTTTTTTGAAGGATGCCCTGTCAAATGGGGGGGGGGGGTACCCCAGCTCCGGTGGGTACCCCCCCCACCCCACAGGGCATCCTTCAATTCGGCATGAGTGCCTGGTGGTAGAAAGCCCGTCAAGCTCAGAGCACGCGCGAGCCGCGCTCAATTGAAAATTGTTGGCTCTGTCTATGCATCAAGCTGTGTGTTCACTAGTTTTGACAACCAGGAACCTCATCAGCTCTGTGAGGCCACTGACCGTGCCTACCTGTCTCAGGCTCAGTGTTCTTCCTGAGTAGCAGCAAGGCTAGCCTGGTGGAGGTCTCGGATGAGCCTCATGTGCCTGCGACTAGTCCGGGTGAACAGTGACGGGCAGCTGGGGGGTCAGCATGCGCGTAGAATCAGCCTCGTCGCCGTAATTTGCTTTCTACGTTTTTGCTGTCACCGCTTTTCTTGTTGTATGTTGCATTATTTGGCTTGCGGCTTCGAACATCGAACTTCAGGTAGCATCAAAGTTTCCTCCCTGTATCACGAGCGCCTGGTGGCAGCATGCCCGCCAAGCTCAGAGCAGACTAGAGCCGCGTTCAAGTTGAAATTGGCTCTATTTTGTTCCAGTTGACAATCTTGCATTCGCCCATTTTTTTCTTCTCCTACCCCAGCATGCCCATACCACAGCTGAGGGCAGAGCTGCTGATAGTCTTCAGCGACATCCTCAACTTCCACCACACGGATCCTTTGCGAGGTTTCAGTCGCGACACAAAAACGGGCTGATACGAGCTCATTCACGACAAAAGGGACCTCTTGGTTCTATCAGAGCGAAGCGAAAAAAACTCTGGGACTGCTGGGCGGACATGCTGCTTTAAAACTTGAGCTGTGTCATTAAAGTGGTCTTCACAGGGCACGCGCCATTCCTGAATTTGCGCACATGGTTGTCTATGTGATTTACCTCTTCCAATGATGTTAACGTGGCTGAACAACGTGATGCCAATCCTGATCACAAAGTTAGATTTGGGGACATGACAAATGTACATCCCTGAGCTTTGAAAACTCTGACTTGCGTCCGAGCAGCAGCTCCACCTGCCGGGGGCTCTAAAGCTTGTCAATTTCAAGACTCAGCAGGGGAACGAGCATGGCGTGCCACACGATAATATGAGCCTCTGGAATCTGACGATCTAGGGAATCTAGCCACCCTTATATGACCGACAAACTTGTCTCCTGAGATTGACCTCAGACACGTGGCTAAGGATAGTTCGCCTCCCATGCTGAGACGAAGTCATCTGGAGCCAGGCTCTCTGGGTTGAAGTCCAGAGCCTGCAGCCGCCACTTCTTGGACAATAGGCATGTGCCCAATCTGCCCGGATACCTTCCGTGAGAGCGTGAAGGTTGCTCTTTCGCCAATCTCCAGCTGCTGCACTACCGCCTAAGGCTTTGAACGGAAAGTATGCAGAGACAAGGGTCGCTGTCTTGCACATAGTCTTGGCTTGTTGCGGTCCAGACGGGCGAGCACTGAGGGTCACCCAAAGCCAAAACCACTGAGAAGTCTTCGTGTTCTGGATACGCCTTCACTTCCCATAGCTCATATACCAGGCGTCTATCCAGATACCTGGATGCTGGACCTTTTTCTCCTCGGAGTTCTCGATCTTCAGGTAGGCCATGTGTCTTTTCTTTGACTTGGCCTGGTGAGCTAGCAGCTACCATCCATCTCATGTCACAGACCTGCAGGTGATTCGGGCTCAGCGCAGGGGCCTCAAGGTAAGCGGACTTCACTGCCCAGCCCTGGTGTCCCGGTGAGAGGGTCTTGTCCTTCTTGACATCCCCTCGGAGAAAGTACAAGTCACGATCAAAACTTCTCACCACAACTGCTTGCATCGCAGGGGCCCTCTGACAAGGTCGGTCTGACAACGTCCTCTTCTATTCACTTCAGAGCGGGCTGCACGTCAATGTCTACTTTTCCCCTTTCCCACCTTCTTGGGCTTCTTTGGCTTTGGGGGCTCTTCCTGCCCAAGCTACTGGCATGAAGACACTACAAGTAGCAACTCAGAAGACGGCAGGATTTGCAAAGTCTGGCCTTTCGGATCATTGCTGGAGGCGGGGAAGACTTTGCGGAGAGCGATTCGTCCTTCGCACGATGGAAAAACCGAGGAGCTCTCCGTGGGTCAGAACCTACAGACAGCCCTGCGGGCCTCCACCACGCCTTCCCGTCTCTCTGCAACGAGCACCGCCCCATCTGTGACCTCTGCTTGACATGCAGCAAACAGAAGCAAAGCACAAACAGTGCTGGAGGTTGAGCCACGCGCATTGTTTGGCTCGCCAGCAAGCGGCTTGATGTCGTCCAGTTCCCGACCTCAGCATGTGGCTCGACATATGCTGCACTGTTCTCACATGAGCAATACTTTGGCAGCTTGAGGTTGCACACAGGAATCGCAGCTGTTGGGAAACTGAAGCCGCGCCAGTCAAAGTCAGACAGATTATCCAACTTAAATCCAGCGGCCTTCGCAGGTAAGCTTAATTTGCTTCGGTGGTACCCGGATGCTGTACCTGCAAAGGAGAAGAGCTTGCCACTGCAATTACAGTGCTGCGCACGCCAGCGTGGCACTTGAGGTTTTCTTTGAGGTGTCCAGGGGTGGAGTTCGGCTCCACAGGCACGTTGACCTTTTGCCAAGCTGAGGCTTACAAGTACATGAATTTTATACTTCGTGGCGCGTCCTCAATATGCAAACCACGCCTAGCTGCATAGCTCACACCCAAACCCAGAGGAGTGCCATTGACAGGTTGACGCGGTCGTGCTAACCGTGTAAGAAAAACAGTAGGCTCCTTGGAACAAGTATTGGAAAGGTGAAAATCTAAGTCAAGGCAAACCTGACAGGAATCTACATCACTTCAAATCCCGTGTCAACAAGATCAATGACCTGGCCTCTCCACTAGGGAGCACAACCTTCACTTGCATGGCTGCAAGCCTCAGCACAGTTGAGAAGATCAGAATTAGAATGGGCCGAGCCATTCAATCTATCCTTGGAATCGGCTTTGTGACGCTCACTGATGCAGACAGAAGGCTAGGCCGCAGAACAAGATCTCGGTGGATCTCTGCGGTAAAACTACTGTGGTAGTTTTGAAGCCGCACCAGCACACAACTCAAATGCACAAGCAAGGAGAGAGAGCAGCACGATCACCTGAACGTAACTCTGCATGCATGGCGGCAAGATGCATGGTCTTTTTCAAGGGCTCTGCGTTTACGCATCCCAGAAGAAGACGAGTCGAAGCATTAGCAACCTATCTACTGGAGACTCGTCAACGCACTGTGTCAAGCAAACCCGGCTTGTCTATAAAGCAGCCTCCAAAAAGTGTTCAGCGAGTTGCGAGTCCATTCCTATCTAGGCTTAGATCATGTCCTCGGCTGCATTCAGCACGTTTCGGAACCTGAGTGCGTAGACTGAGTGCAACGTGGATATGTATGAATATGACCGCATCCCACAATCGGCCCCAGGCACATCTTGCATTTCTTTTGACAAGCCGAGGACCATGACGAGCGCCGTCACCATCATCGACTGTTATTCGAAGATGGGTCTTGATACAACAGATGCCGGGAGTGCACTTAAGTATCCCTGCCTCCAGCTTTGCCTCTAGGTTCTTCATCGTATCCTCAAAACCAATACCCTCATCACTGAGCCTTCCAAGGCGCTCAGTGCCATGAAAATACCTAAGGTCTTGCTTAGAGCTACTTCGGGACTGCGTAAAAATGCATATGTATTGGAGCCCAGCTTTCAGCTGCAGCTGGCCTCTTGCCCACAATGCCAAAGACTGCACTGAACCCACCATGAAGTGCTGCATCCAGGTCTGCGCCCCCTTTCACAAGCGTTGGACAAGTACCTTACCTACGCAACACGCAATGGCAGCAAAGCACACGGCCTGCTTTGAAGAAGCTTATTACCAGCGTCACCTGAAACCAAGACAGAATAATGCTGGACATCAACAAGTCATTGCAATAGTGCAAGATGAACTACTGGGAAACTCCCAAGCCAATTTCAATGCTGAGACACCCTAGTAGCCACCAAGTTTGCAACACGTGATGTTGTGCCGTCACCATTTAGTAGGGGTGCACGAACTACTCACAAGCCTACGAGTACGCAGAGCTTTCAAGAACATGGCGCACCAACTGAGGACCCACGCCAGGAGGAAAACCACTCCGATCGCCAGCAACACCCCAAGCACAAACAGCACAATCTGTCGCAAAGTCCTGCCACAACTCCTCTACGCTGCGAGGAAACAAGGCATGGCTGAAATTTGCCAGGCCGGCAAGTTCAGGTGCTTCAAGATATGGTGCGGGTAGTAGTCCAGCCTTGCCAAGGACCGAGAGGTATGATGGTATGACTGTTGACTGCCAAGGCACCAGAAGTGCAAACCAAGTAGCATCAAGAACCGAATCACTTGAACGAACTCCTCGTTTTGCAGCCTGACTCTCTCAACTTGGCCCACGGCTCATGGTTGACATTGGGGCATTAAGCTGTCGACAGGCCATCGCCATTGACGTCCATCCTGGCAACCCTTACACATGCATCGCATACGGCAAGGGTGCAAAAAGATCAATCGGAGCGCAGCGTGCTGCTCTGCTGCTGAAATTTCCTAAAGTCGCCCTGGTCTGCTAAATATCACACCCACTTTCGAAGCATGAGAGTACTCGAGTCATTAGTGTGGAGGCTGATACGTGCCGCCATGCGGCGTAGTGAAGTACTTGTGAAGCTCAGCCTGTGGCACCTGCTGCAGGCATGCTTTTGCTGCAGAAGGAGCAGCGACCCAGACAGCGAATTTATGGATATTGAAAGCTTCGAGCTGCCTCTAAGCCAAGCTCCTTCTCCAAGAGTTTGCCAAGATCAGAGCCTGATACAACGACTCCAACAAGACAGTTCTTGATGGAAATGCTCTTCGGAAGTTAGCATTCATGTTTTCTGGTTGGGCTATTGCAGAAAGCACGCGCGGGGTCAGGCCCGCACATGTCAAACCTGGAACCGCCAAGCTTTGCAGCAAGTCCATTGCCTCCACCCATGTCCCCCAACCCAGACTTGGCCACATAAGACTTTTTGCTGCAACAGCGTGCCTCTGCGGCCGTCAAGACACCGCGCTTTGCCACGTCGTGATCTTCCTCAGGAGCCGATTTGTCATATCGACCACTGGGTGCTTTGTGATCCTGGGGCCACAACGAACTCTTCATCAAGGTGCTTCAGCGCATATTCGCGGACGGGCCCTCACGATTCAGAGCACCAAACCTTGTGCATCGCAGCATCCGCTTTTCAGTTCAGAAAGCTCGGCTAGCGACCAGCAGGTAGCAGTCGCTTGGCCACAAGACCTTGAAGAAAGCAAGTGGAGGGGAGCCGTTCTGGAAGCAGGGTCTGTCAAGACAGGAATGGCAGAGGCAAAGCAGGATGTTTTCGCTGCGCTTTTGATGCCACGCTTCTGCTAGCGGCAAGCTGGCCGGCCGATGTCTTGCTAGGCCCAGTGGACCCCAGCGGCTGCAAGAAAAGAAGCGGCTCTTGGAGCGTCAATTTCAACCCTGCCCGAGTCTGTTAAACTGCAGAGGGCATCTCGAACACCGCAAGGCGCCAAGGTCTCGCCTGCAACGTCTTCTGACACAGCTGAGAGTGCTGGGCCCAGCTCGGCATCCCATCTATCAGAAGTCACCGCTGAAAGGGCCCAGCATCTCACAAGTAGGTCCTGCAGCAAGCACATACTTCTGCCTCTTTGTCTTAAACCTGTCGCCATGTTGAAACCCTGCAACCAGTGCAACTACCTGAAGCCCTCGACATCACCCAAAAAGAAAATCGATCCAAAACAGCGTCAGCATGGCGCATCCTGTCTGACATGATATGATAACCAGTCCTCCCGCATGAAAGCAGCAAATCTGTCCACATATCGAGCGAATTGCTTCCTCACACAATCACGACCTTGTATGCGCCGAAGAGCCTCTGCAAAGCCATGCGGTCCGGCAGTCAATGGGAGGTATCGAAAGCGTCTGGGCGCCATCGACTTCATGGGCGGCAGATCCAACGTCAGAGAGCGCCAGTCTCGCCCCAGATTGTCAGGATCAGAGAACCTCTCCAAAGCGATGCGCTCGGGCGTCGAAGACATTGACGGCAGAAAATCCACAGCCGCCCAGCCCCAACCCGTGTCCAGCTGCTCGATGCGCTCAAACGGCATGTCAAGCTCTGGGAAAAAGATGCTTAGGACAGCCACCCAAAAGGATGAACCATGGCTGTCCAAATTTTCATAGACCTCGTAGCAATGCTGGAACAAGTACTTCAAAGGAGAAAGAAAGGCTGCGTGCAAGGCGTTCCGCTTGTGCCGGTCCAGAAACCGCGCGGCATGTTGGAAGATGATGGTACGGCAGGCACTTGCTGCATCTGCAGGTGGCTTTTGCATCTGCTCAGCAGACATCAGGTCATAAATGCAAAACTCAAAGACCTCTTTGTGTCGGCCCACGCAGTTGTAGCAAGCTTCGTGCATTTGGAGGAGAATATTCACCAAAAGCTGCTTGCGTGAATCTGCATCATCTAAATCAACAAACCACTTCAGGTAGCTGTGCGCTAGGCTTCGAAAATGCAGACGGTGTTCGCCCGGCACCAGTCGAGTCCAAAAGAGGCTGGGCTTTATCAAACCATCGTAGACATCTGTCCCAGGGATCGGCTTGCAGGGCACGGCTTCGGTATCAAAGCCTACTTCACCCATACAGCAAAGTAAAGTACTGAGCACTGGAACGTTCAATTGATGCTCGCAGGCATTGTCTGCGTAGACTGTCACTCGAACATGCGGAGCCCACTCTGTAGTCACACTGTAGCAAAAGGCGATGCAGCGGCGCACTGTGGCCTCAAGGCTTTCGCTTGGGGGTGACTCTGCTGTCTCCTGTACCAGCCGCCTGACCCTCTCTTGATACAAAGATGGCAGCAAATAGGGCGACAGAAAAATGCTCGGGCGTTCCGCGTCATCCTCTTCCCGATGGCTGCCACTGATGCGCGCGCCCATGCTGTGCAGCTAAGATCAAAAAGAAGTAACGAACCCACGCCGCTGCCTCCGCATAAGTGTATCCATCCTCCTAGGAACCAACGTCAAATGATTCTTTGCTCCTTTCCTGCTGTGCCGCCCCTGAGTATGGCTTGATTGAGCCAACTGATTCCCAATGAGCACATAGGTGATCAGATCTCTGCCAACACATGGCAAAATCAATACGGCCCGAGCGCGAACATTACGTTTCGATGCTTCACAATACGCTACACTGCTGAACTGCACTTGAAGCCTGCATCACTAGCCGGCACCCGACCTGTCCCAGGAACAGAAAGCAGGATAAGTTTGTCCAAATTGGGTTTTGACGGTGAGCGCCACGTGCGAGCATCACATACTCAAGCATCATGAACACAATTGGGATTTCATTTCGAGAAAATCCAAAGTGCTTTGAGCATGGTTTATCTTGGCGCAAGCTTGCCATGTCTTGGCCCATCTTTCCCATTTCTGTTTTTCCGGAGCCACCTTTTGCTATGCCAAATAAATTGACCGGGTGTACAATGGTAGCATAGGAGCTTCCTAAATGCTGGAAACACGTGCAAAAGGCCAGTAAACGCCATGCAAAATAATTTCTCAGCCAAAAATACTGCCAACAACATATGTTTTGAGCATTTTGCTAGGGTTTACGGCCCGCTTCAGGCATCGGCAAACCCTAAAAAAGCCAGCATCATGAGGCCAATCCCCGGTTGTGCTGATGATGGCCCCCCAAACTTGCCCTAAACCCTCCGCAGCGTCGGGTCCAATAAACTTCATCACTTGCTAGCCCCCAAAACCACTTTCCCAACAGGCTTTGGCGGTGGTGGTGCCACGCCGTATAAAGCATAGCGCCAGCCAGGTCTGCATCCACACTGGACCACGGCCAGGCCGGACTGAGGCTCGGGCGCAAAGCCTCTGACCACAAACCATGGCCAGTGTATGCATGAAGCGCAGCCTGGGCATGTTGCAACTGCCACAGTCAGCGAAGATCTTTTATGTCTTGAGGCACAACTGCAAGGTCCGAGATAGCTCGAAGCTCCGCCTGCCCCCATGCAGCTCAACACAAGCATGTCAGGGCGTGTAACTGATTCAGACTGTGAATGTCCAGCAGCAGTTGCATGATCAAGGGCTTCTCGACCCTTTTTCTGCTGCCGCACATGGAGAAAGGTCACTAGGACTCTATAGCGACGCTGGCATGACGCTTGCGCATTTCTTGATTACTGAGAACTTTTACTAAACAGACTGTGTAATCACCTGAGTGCTAGAACTAGAAGCATGAAGATGTCTGCCGACATTGATTGCACGCTTGTATGCGTGCCATTGTCAACTTGTCTATGCGTTGCCCTCGGTGCGCTGATAATGCTGCCCGCACTCAGGACATCAGTTCCTGCATTGAGGAGGCACGAAGGTTTGCAGAAACACTCCTCTGTTTTGATTTGTCATGGACCCTCAAGCCAGTATTTACGCAGGGTCCACATTAAGAGGGACACCCCCAAAAAAGTCTGCACAAGTTTCAAGAAATACCTTGCCTGAATCTTGCCGTTGCGCAGCAGTGGCTTGACCCCACCCATGCCACCTCAAGGAGGGCCCTTGGGGCATGTTTGGGGAAAACTATGTGCCCAGCTTTCTGCAATCAGGGTGCCGTCGTTGCATCCGCCGACAAAGTTGCCCTTGACCCAGACCTTGGGGACGCTAGTGGAGTTGGTGATAGAGGCCAGCTCATTCCTGCCAAATGGAAGGCTGCGTCTTGACAAGTGAGGAGCCACCTGTCCTCAAGTCAGATCCAGGAGGAACCTCCACTGTGACAGGCGGATAACCTGCGTCCGTCAGAGCCGCGACCTAGCAAAACTTTCGCAGGCGCAAATAAGTTCGCCCGTTGTTGAAGGGGCTGGATAGGTGGAGCACATCTTCAATCTGTTCAGCCCTTTGCACCAAGCTGTGCACCGCTTCACGGCAGAATGGGCAGGTTGGGGTAATGAAGGCAATGACAGCCTGAGTCAGCAATCAAATTCGTCGGAGAAGATCCCAAGCAAACCTGCATGCAAACACATATCTTGATGTTGCAGGCGCAGGCACGTTCTCTGTGATGTATTCCTCAACAGAACTCGCGCCTTTGCTGGCAGGGCATGTCATGCAAAAGGAGGGCTATAACACTTCAAAAGCACTTCCTTCCGAGTAGCGCAGTGCGATAGCGCTAGGGGCACGCACCTGTCAAAATCTGCTCCTCAACTCGTAGACTGCAACCACTGGCATGTCATAAGCATCGCAGTTGATGCCTTTCGCGAGGCAGTGGCTGCAACGGCGAAAGCGCCAAGGCCTAACCTCCAGTTTGTTCTCTTCACGCTCCTAGTCACTCCTAGTCTCATTCAGAAAATGTGCTGTAGTTGCACTTGTCTGCATGGACCCTCAATACACCTTCTTGAGGTTGCATGCTTGGCCGGCTTAGCTTCTGCTGCCCGGCTGCATGGCGCTGCCTCCAATTGGTCCATGGCTAGGCGGGCGAGCTGAGATCTGCCCCTGCATCGCATTGTGCGCAGGGAGCGCAGCAGGGGCCTCAAATCCGACATCTGCAGCTGCAACGAGTTCTCTGCTTCCAGCTGGGCCCAGTTGCAATGAAAGCCGTGGCCGTAGAGACGTCCATGTCCTCGGGTGTTTCCCATGTAGTCTGTCAACATCAGCGTAAACGAAATTCACACAAAACGGCTTATTCCCAGGGCCTCTGAAGCTGGTCTGGTTGGTACAGCCCACTTTGGCAGCTACTTGCAGCTACGGAGCAACCCTGGCCGAAACAGCTGCAGCAGGCAGATGCAACCCGGTTGAAACCACAGCTGCAGCATGCCAATCTACCCATTGCAACCGCAGCCTTATCATCGCCGGGGATGCGGGGACAGATTTCAAACACTTCCTCTTTAAGAGCCTGATCAGGCATGCGTTCTGCGCTGCTGCGCGGCTAACATGGCTGGCCTTCACCGGAATATTGCACTTCAGCATTTCCTGGACAATCACCTGTCATTCTGCGCTCAGAACACCTAGAGAAGCCGCCGCGATGGGACCTTGAACTGGTGGAAGGTGCAGTCTGTGAGCTTCGAGAAGTAATCACCTCCGCCACTGTTCGTCACATGCAGCCCACATGGGGACAATGTCTTTGTTGCAGGCAACTCATTTCAAGAGGCTTTCACAGCTGTTCGAGGCGATGTCAGCAGGTTCTTCCATAAGCATGAAAGTCAAGCTCCTGGCACTTCAGCCATTTCTTGAGCTTGTGCAAGTGCCTTTGCTGTAGCTCTGCCATGAAAGGTTTTATCTGTAAGCCGTGGTCACGAAGCCATGATGCAAATGCGTCAGCTGGCCGGAAGTCTGCAGCTTAGGAACAGCATGAAGGAAACAGCACCATCAGCTTCTGTGGCCACCTGTGATGTCAGGTTAGGAGAGATGGAATCCACCTTATTCAGTTGAAGGTGTTGTGCGAACATGTGGCCATACCAAAGCCAGTGCCGTATCAAAATCAAGAGGCATACTTCCCGACTCCGTGGCCTGGCACTGGAAGAAAAGGTCCAAATCACTGGGAATGCAGTCCTTGACCAGGCCGCAGGTTGAACCGAGCAAGATTATGATTATGCTTTTTGTTTGAAGCGCAAGAAGCAAACAGCAACTATGAGCTTACAGCATATTGCCGAAGATAATCTCCTCATTACAAATGCGAGTCATAACATGTGGAGGGCTGCTCAACATCATGGGCTCTAGAACGAGGATCCTCACATTTGGGGGCCATAGAGGGGGCCTTAACTTTGAAAATTCCACGTTCCACGCATCCCCGGCAACACACGGCATCCCACCATGGTATCGAAGATCTGGAGCACCAACTCCAACCAGAGGCCACGCCTTCATTGAAATTTGATGTTCTTCTCACATTTCCCCCGTCAGAGGATTGGCAAGGATTTCTGCTCCAAGATCCTGGCAGCCTGCGCCGCCCTGAAGGCTTGACATGCCAAAGGCCTGGATTGTCTCCTGAGCTCTTCTGATACGCTGCGTAAGCCATCAAGCCGTCGGTTGGCCGGCTGTCCGGGCCCAGGCCTGTCTCTTTGTACCACGCAAGGTCCTGGCGCCAGACATAAAAGGTCAAGCTCACAAACCGGAAATTCCCTGACCTCCATGGAGTCGGTAAACGGAGACAGTTGCAGAAGATTCGGATTCTTGGCCTCAGACTTTCAAAAGGCACTTGGCTCGTGATGATGCCCTGTATCTGGCATCACTAAGCCATACATTGTCCAGCCGGGCCTCCCCAGCGCCATCCTGCACTGCCCACTTGAGTTTAAGAGGCGTGCTAGCTGGGATGTCTGCAGAGAGTAAGGTTTCAGCAGAGGCTTGGCAAATAGTACTTTGCATGCCAGCTTGAAGGACAAGGATCCTGGAGTCCCGGAACATAGACCAGGGCTTCCAGGAACTGCAGGATGTGTGATATGGGCAAGCAAGGCGGCCTTAGCTAGACAGCTAGCCACAGCGAAAGCTGGCAGCTGGTTCTGGACGGAGGCCCTGACCCACCAGGTGAGCCCACAGTTGCACACTCCTTGCAGAACTTACTAAGGCCTTTGTGATTTTTTATGCACTGCTCAACGTTCACAGCCCGCAGCTATCCTCCCAGAGCTTGGTGACATCAGAGGGCCAGTGACACTTCTGGCTAACCTTGGCAAGTGCCCTCTGCCCTGGAAGGGTGGCGTCGTACAAGTCAACAGGGCTCTGGCAAAGGCAAGGTCAAGAACGTTTGCCGTTTCCAGCCTCGGACACACAGCATCGTGGTAGGTGCCTGTTAATTACAGACTTCACTTGGCCCTGCAGGAAGTACGCTGGTTGCTGGGGCATGCCAATTTTACAGCATGAGCTCAAGTAGGCCAAGCAATGCTAAGCCAAGCCATCCGCTCTTTAGCCAACTTCCCAGCCTGAACTTGAGCTCAGCATCATGAGTACCACTGAATTCACTGAATTGCACGAAAGCTTGCCTCTTCTGCATCTCCTTGGCAGCCTGCATAGCCACCAATACCTCATGCCGGCTCACCAAGCCACCATGCCCCTGCCTATCCTGAATTGCCCACCTTGACCATGACTGAGGCCAACACCCACTCTAAGAAGTAGAGACTTGGCGGCAGCCTGTCTTGCTGCATTTCTGCGACAACTTATCTGCTATCTGCATAGCAACTAGCATCAACTAGCCATGCATCCCGGCCTTCCACAAGCCGCCGTTGCTGAAGCGCAGGATCAGGCCCACGACCTCCTCGGTTGAGCTGTACCTGCCAAACCAAGTTCTGACACTTGGGGCTTAAGCCTTGGCGAACGGAAAGCCGCCGGTTTGCTTTTTTGCCGCGCAAAGACTGACTAAGGAGCTTTGTCCATCCACGGACTAGCATTGCAGCTGAATTTTGCTGTAAGATTCCTCCGTGACAGCATCACCTGGGCAGAGAAGATGCCAAAAGAACAGATACAGGACAGAATACTCTCTGAATGCCATAAACTTCTGTGTTCAAGCTAAGCCAGAGTGCTTGACACTCGTGCAAGGCCTCCCATTAACCACCGGCATGGCCCAGCACTGAATCGATTTACAGGAAAGTTGCCTTGGCAACAGCCGCGTATTTAGCAAGTGTACAAAGGCTGAAGGGAAGCCAGGCCAGGCCAAAAAGGTAAAGCTCGGTACAGCCGAGGTGCGGCCGACCTCTTTCGAGAAGGCGGCGGTGTCAACAGGCAAGCAAAAGCCGGCATGGACTGCGTCAATAGTTTCCTGCCGCAGCACCAATCTGTGAACCCTAGGCACAGCCTTGATGAAAGTGGAGGATCAAGGCAAGGCCTGTAAAAGCTGTATCAAACAGAAACCAAATTCATCCAAGCTGCTCATGATCCTTGGCGAAAGTCACCAGCGACTCTGATGAGCGGTTGCCTTCATAATCCTCCACTTCTTCGCCATCCTTGAACATCCTCAGGTTCCAAATGTAAGTGACAGCGCAGTTGTTCGTCAGGGCTTCGGGCGTCATTAGGACAGCTCGCACAGCAACCGAGCTGCTTGATGGTTGGGAAAGCCCGGATGTCCTGGCAACAGCGGCGACAGGCGACACAGGACACTGGAATGCAGGAATGAACCCAGCTCTCAATGTGTTGCGATAAGTGCCGAACATGATTGCCAAGGAACAAGTTCCGGAGCATTAGTGGCGGCAGCAGCAGCAGCAGCAGTACCGGCGCCGCGAATTAAGTAGAAGCATTTGTCGTACCAGCTGTTGTCGCCGCAACGTCGGAGGAGGTTGCTACGCGGTGGCGGTGCTGGTGCCTGTGCTGATGGCGGCGGCGCTGGACTTGCGGCTGCTGCGGCCGCGGCTGTGGCGACGGCGGCTGCTGCTGCTTGCTGGTGGCGGCTGCTGCAGCAGTTGCGGCCGGCACATTTTGTAGAACATGGCGAGGTCCTAAACAACATGGGCAGGTAGCGCGGGAGGGCCTTGCAAAGATCGGCATTCTCTGGTACCGGGTTCCAATTTCTATCATTGCACTCGATCTGACCTCGGATTTCGAACTGACCGCGGTCAGCAGGGGAAGACAAGACGGTCCCTAATGCATCCCTACAACTACAGGGCGAGTGCCGGTACGCTTGATCAGGCTGAAAGTGCTATTCAATTCAAAGGGCGGAAAGTGACTGGGCCCGAATAGGCACTCTGAGCAGCCTTCCAAGCTGGAGCCAGTGCCTCGCAAATGCTCGGGCCACGTCCAACCGCAGCACCCTCACATTGCGGCACCCCTTTAAAAAGCTTAGAAAACAATTCACAACAGCAGGAAGAGGCAAAAGGCCCTGCAGCCTGGCAGTGCCCGCAGGCGGCGGCGTAGTACTCTCGCAGCTCCAGGCCCTGGCTTACGTAAACATACTTGCTCCACTCGCTCCACTCCACACCCAGAATCCTCTTCTGCTTTTTACTTCTGTTTTGGGGCATTGTCTCAGTGAAAGGTCCTCTGACCTTTAATCCGTTGAGCTTCTGGCTTAATCTGGACATGCAGCGGCCTTGTCGGCAAAGGAGCTTGCCAGCAGCTTGGCGCCCAGTCCCATCTTGGACCTGCTACCGGCTCACGGGAATTGGCAGCATTGGCTACATTTAGGCAAAGTCCGAGAGGCGTGCCTCGGGCAGGAAACGTGCGGACTTTGCCACTGCGGCTGGCTGCTACGAGCTGCTGACACACGAAAGTGGCGACGGGCGTCTAATTGCGACAGACCACCTTTCGTATCCTTGTCTCTCGGGATTTTCTCTAGGGGATGTGTCTGCTATCTTCTCCTGCTCATCTGAGACTATGGCTCATTACTGCCCTCACTCAAAACATGATCAGTCGTATCCAGCTAGCAGGCTGTAGGGCACTCGAAAAGGTCAGATCCTCAAGTCCAAAATTGTGATCAAAAGCACCCACATCATCAGCGGCAGAATCGGGTTCCTAACTACTTTGCTCGCCACATTCGGCAGCTTTCTGCTGAGGGCAAGGCCTTCGGTCATTTCATCCCACCGCCGTGGCAGCCATCCTTTCGATGGCCTCATGACTAGTGGCTATTGCATGAGCGCGAACTGCTGTCCAAGCTTTGGGTTTTCGAACTTTGACCGCACCCAAGCACCACAGCCGAGAGCATGCAAGTCACTCATCCTAGAACCAACCCTCATAGTCCAGGCCAGACAGCAGCGACAGTCCAGTCACTCCCAGCAAACCCATTGCAGCATTGCCCGAAAACTTACCTACCAGCATGCGCGACGTCTTCAAGCGAGGGCCCACCCAAGTTATCCTGTCCCATTGCTCTGGCTTGGCAGTCTGGTAAAGCTGGCGAAATTTCGAGAAGGTCCGAGGCGGCTCTGAATTGCTGAGAAGCCCAGGGCTTCAGCTATTCATTCATCCAATCCAACACACTCCAGCTTTGAGCACCTGTCTCTCTCACTATGTCTCGGCATCAATCTTGGCGTGCCATCAAACACTGGAATTTGTTGTTGACAGCTTGTTGCAACCCAAGGCTCTCTAGTTCCTCTTTGCTCCAGCCCAAGTCCTAGGTCATATAGAAAGATGAAACTGCCTATCATGCAGCAGGATGGCAAAGAACGGTGAAAAGGACGCCTTGAGGACGGCCACGAGAGCGTTGTACCAAAAGTATGCTTTTGGCTGGCTTCCCCTCAGAAAACCACCAACATGCAGGATTGTCCATGCCTGACTTTTGGTTCGACCCCGCTTCTGATCCTACAGATGCATGGACAAAGCTTCAGACTGACTTAGGCACAGGCGTTGTTAATGACACCTTCTCGTTTTGCAGGCAAAGGCTCCTTGCAAGCATGGATGAGGCACGTAGGAACATGAGCATGGCACATCTCATTTCTCCTCACTGCTGCAATGAGGGCTTTTGGCGTCAGTTCTGAGCCGCCCTTCAGCCTGCAGGCTGCAGTACACGGATACTTGAAGCAGCTGCTGCAACACTCTCGCAAGATCAGTCGGAGAAGAATTGGTATGGTATAACGCGTGAGTTTCCGTCTGATGCAGCATGATGCAGCCAGAGTGCTGGGAATCAATCTCTGCGTTCAGGATGAACTGCACCTGCAACATATACAACATCCTCGCAAGTAGATGCAGCTACTGGCGGTGAGGGCTGAATGGGATTTGAATTATTTGGGCATCGGGTCTTGCCTGTGGCTTCTGAACAGCCTCGGGATCCAGCAGGCCACCTAAGCTGGCATTTTGTCTCTCATAACCACATGGACCGACGGCTCCAAGCTTGAACTTGGTGTCGAAAAGCGATTTTTCAGAAACTCTGGGCTGGTAGCAGTCCACAAAGATCTCCAGCGGCTTCGTCCTGAATATGAGCAATTGCCAGCATCTGTTCTGCAGGTCAGCCTGCACCTGTCCTGTAGCGTTCTTCGAAAAGCTCGTAGCCAACACGATACGCACCCTCACTGAGAAGATGAAAGCAATTCAGAAGACACAAATCTACAAAACGGAGGGTGACCTGTGGCTGCTCAGGACGCAACTAAGACAACCTGGGAAGCAGCACTGCCCTGAACAACCGCAGATAGCTCACGCTCGACAGAGTTCAGGACAACCTGAGCTTTCACACTGTTCAAGACTCGTGCGCACACGGGCAACAATGGTGATGCCAACGCGCACAAGGGCACCTGATTCTGATGCCTAGATGCCCTGGATGTAAGCGTCTGCGAGCAGTAGACGTCGACTTGACGGCTGATGTGTGGCCAATTCAGGCACTTCGTCAAGCACCTCAGATCCAACAGCTACGCATTTCAGGTACAGGGTCTTCCGGGGATGCTTCTTGAGCTGTGAACCTTGCAACCACCGCATCCATCTTTTCCATCTCCTGGAAGTCTCAACTGAGGCAGCTGGCTTCTCTAGCAAAACTGGAACCCTCTACCCTACAACAGGCATGGGCACACTTATTTGGCTGCAAGATGTGTCACGATCAGTTGGAGGGGGAAGGCCCTTGCCCATCCCCCTCCTCATGTCCTGGGAAGTGTTTCACCCCTAGTTAACTTGGCCATTGGGCCAACATACACAAAATCCTATTAGACCCTGCCCTGTCTGGGGCGGGCGGGCGGGCTTTCAAAGCCACATCGACGGTAAGCACCTGATGAAATCAAATGGCAGCGAACCTGACAAGGGGGGCATAACACAAACTAGACTGCGTTGCCTGCATGCCTATGTTTACGGGAGTAGGGTTTGCTGTGTGCGTCGGCCATATGCCAAACCTACCCCGACGCAAACATCCCAACCCTCTACCCTACAACAGGCATGGGCACACTTATTTGGCTGCAAGATGTATCACGATCATTTGGAGGGGGAAGGCCCTTGCCCATCCCCCTCCTCATGTCCTGGGAAGTGTTTCACCCAAAGCGAAGCCGCAGCCTCCAGTGCCCATGCCATGAGCAAACACTCAATCCCCAAACCAACCGCGCGAATGGCCCTAGCAAGGAAACAGGACGGACAAGACCTTAATGCGCCACGGC